ATCCACACCAGCCCACTACCCGCTAAAATTATACCCATCCCCGCTCTAATTGGAGCATATGCGGTGCGAAATCCACGAAACTGTACCCGTTTACCATCCCTACTCCCATGCGGATAAATTCTTTGGCCGAATCGAGAAAGATGCGTGTGATTGGTTTGTAGAGGGCTTGCACCCGAGATTAAAAGAGATGTTAATCGTGTTAAATTTATCCTCGTTTCAAGAGGTAGTAAATCATGCGAAAGCTCTTGAAAGAGCTCAGAATGAACGGTTTGGGGAGAAGAGAGCTCAATCTTCTAAAAGAACTGGGGTTTCATCGAGCATGGTACCACCCAAGAAAGGTAGAGATTCGGGTTTCTAATCTCAAGCACTGTTAAAATCGATGGCATCCTCCGTTAAAGAATCAAATCAAATGAGCGTTAGAAAAACTCAGTCTGGAAGGTTTGGTGATAAGCGAGCATAACAGAGTCAAATTATACAATGTCAAATTTGTGGAAGAAGCCATTGTGGATTATCTAGAGTGGTCACTGGAGTCTGTTTCCAATGTAGAGAAACAAGGCATTATATGAAAGATTATATGTTGAGGGTTGGAGAGCATGTACAGTCAGAGTGATCTTCGTCGATGTCTCAGAGAGGACGCGATAGAGGTAGAGAAAGAAATCAGGAAGAATCTTTTACTCAACAGGAAATACATTCCACGACTAGAGTATATAATCTCAAGATCAATGAGGACTATGATGACCCAGAGATAGTAGCAAGTATTTTTTTTCTATTGTACAGTAAATGTGTTATGATATTGGTTGATCCAAGTTGCATATCTATATACGAGTAGTGAATGGGTGAGAGAATTGAGAATTTAGATAGAAGTCATTTGTAGTAATATTAAAGTGACAAATTTAGTAGGGCACAGTGCTCAAGTAAACAAGACATGCGGAAGGTGTTCCACTTGGATTCAAGGAATTGAATTCTCTGTTAATCCAAAAGTTATTTTTCAAGGGATTGGAAATAATATTGGAGATGGACTATTTATATAGTTAGTATGCAAATGATGATTGTAAATTAGGAAGAGGTACAACTAATCAGCTTAGACGGATTAGAAATATCAATGTTGGAAGATATATGTTATGAGGGATAAATATGTTTTGATTGAATAAGGATTTTACAAGGAATGAGGTTGTGCAAGTAGTGTTAAATATCAGAATTATGGAAATAAGATGTGGAATGTTATTTAAAGATAAATATAAGTGATATAAAAGGATTATGGAAGCATAAGGAAAAAGATATGATTTATGAGATAAGAATATGGTGGTTTATGAAGAATTAAATAGATATAAAGAAATTAATTGGAAAAGAGTGTAAAGTGTGAATTATAGGTTTGATAAGGAAGTAAGGAAATGTTAGATAGTGTTGTGGAAAGATGGTTTGGTTTTAGAAATATATGTTTTCACCAATTATGATGAAGAGTAAATGTTATAGATAAGAAGATAATGATTTAGTTATATGTATTAAGGAAGTTAAAATATAATTGAAAGAATGTTTCTCTCGGTTCAGATAGTGAATGATAAGTCTGTTGTGTTGTAAATGATATGGATGTATAAAGGAATGGTAATGAAAGTCAGTTTATGATAACTCGAGATTAAGTGAAGAGGTAATATGTGAATATAAATATGAGACGGGTAGACATTAGTTTAATCTATTAGTACAATGAAAATTCGAGGACGAATTTTCTTAAAGGAGGGGAGATTTGTAACATCCTCAATATTGGGTTGGTGACTAAATTGAAATATTTCAGAATTTGTTGGTCAAAGTAGATAAATTGAAAGTTTGGGGACTCACAGGAAAAATTGTTGTGTAGGATTTAAATATTAAAGAAGGAATTATGGAAGGGTAAAATGGTAACTTGTTGGAAATATATTTGTTAAGTGGGGATATATATGGGTTGCACGTAGGAATAAAAGAGAAAAATGAAGCTTTCTAGAGTTCTCTTCTTCATCCTCTTCCAGCAGTGAGCTCAAGCTTAATAAGGTGAGTTTTCTAGACAATTAATTATTCAGTGAATTTAAGTTGGGTTTATGATTCTTAAGTGATACTTAAGCCTAAGGAAGGCTTAAGCTATCATTAAAACAAAGAATAGAGGATTTGGGAGGAATTAAAGTTAAGGAGTTTTTAAGTGAAATTTTGATGGTGAGTTAATAAGCTATAATGGAGGCTAAATTTGACTTGTCATCAATCTAGTTAAGACAAACGAAGTGTTAAAAGTGGAATTAAATCATGTTGCAAAGTTGGTGAAATTCTTGAATTTCATGAGGAGGATAAGATTTTGAGATTTAAGATGAAATAAATGAGTATAGATTGTTTTAAGTATGTGTACTGGAGTTAAGAATAAAAAAGGGGATGAAACATGAAGCATTTAAACTAAAATGGATGAGTTTTCAGGTTCAATAAGTGAATTCTGGGCAGAGTGAACCGGTACACATTCAATGTGTACCGATGCATCAATGGTAAAATCCTAGAAATTGTTCAAGGTGTATCGATGCACATGAAGTGTATCGATGCACTCCTTTAAAATAAAAATGTCGAATGCTATCAGTGTATCGATGTGCAAGTAGTGCATCGATGCACTCCCCTTAAAATATAAACATCGAATGAGATTTATGTACCGATGCATAGATAGTGCATCGATGTACCTGTCAAGGGATGCATCGATACATGGTGAAGTGCATCGATGCATACCTTCATTAAAAGATGAAAATAACTTTCTTTTTAGCCTAAGGAGTGATAGTTTTGAATATATCAATTAGTATACTGATATGTATCAATGTATTACTATGTAGATTTAGAGCGTAATACTGTTTCGGAACAATCGAAGGATTAAGATCAAATCAAAGCAAGCAAGGCTAAGGTGAGTGCATAATATAGGTATAAGGTAATGGAAATAAGACTTGTGATAAGTCTATTTCCGAGGTAAATGTCATAGTATAATAGTATGAACATGCATATATTATAGTTTAGATTAAATGTGTGTAAGTTATATATGTTTACATAAGAATGTACTCAAATGCTTGTGTGGTAGAATATGAGATGGATGATTATCTACATATGTGTTTAAATGTTATAGTGAATGCTATGAAATATGAATGTGATATGTGCATATGGAGAAGACTAAGTGATATGAACTACGTAATCATATGAAAATAAGAACATGTGAAATGAAATATATGATAAGGAAACAGGGAACTCTATAAGAGTATTACATGATGTGTGATAAAGAGCTATAAGTTTGTGCTTATGTGATAGAAATAAATGATAAATACAATAACAATGCTCATGTTATGTGATGTGAGAACCATAGATATAGTTGGCATGCCAAGAGTCGAGGGTTCATAGGTCTTTCGAGACATACAGAGATCCTTCGGGATATACATAGGTCCTTCGGGACAACTTTCACATGCCCCTAGTGGGACTCCATACGAGTTGTGGTGACAGCATAGTGCACAACCTCAATGTACTCGCATACCTTAAGTTCTCAGCAATATACATGGGCCTATAAAAGATATGAAAAGAGTTTGTATGATTGTATTTTATCATGTTACCATTGCTTCTTTGAATCACGTATACACATGAATTAATAAGGAGATTAATAATGATCTACACATATGTATTTATTTATTGATATGTAATTTGAGATGATTTTGTCTGAAAGGATGAAATAAAATGAGGTTGGATAATATGATGGAATATAGTATACATATAATGTGACCTGTTATAAGTGTATTATATATTTTAGTATGTCTCACTAAGTCTGTGACTTAGCGTGTAAGTGATTTACACGTAGGTACAGAAAAACAAGAAGACCGGTCTTGGGAACAACATATCCCCATTTGAAGATCAGATCAGAAGCACCTGACGTAGTATGTTGGTTTATATTTTATATGTGTTGGCATGTAAATAGAGTCATATATTATATACACTCTGATCGAGTTGTAATGTTTTGAAATGGTAATATAAACATAGTTTTATATTAATGAAAGTTTTAAATTTAGGTTGGTTTTATAAATACACAAGCTTTGAAAAGTCAATGTGACACTTCAGATTCGTATTCGGGTTGGATACGGGTTGGGGTGTTACATTTAATGGTATCAGATCTACGGTTTAGCTGATTCTAGGCATAAACCTGAGTCTAGAGTGTCGTTAGATATGTACATGCCAACATAGTAGTGATAACTTCTGATTTGATCTAAGTAATAAGTATGTCTTTATGATAATAGACTTATTTGGTTATATTTTATTAGATGTCTGGACAAAATAGCTCTCGAGGTGAAGCGGGAGATGATAGATTAGCTGAGAGTAGTAATTCACCTGCCCTGGCCAGGTAAGGTGAAGAACGGGAACCTTTTGGAGTGCCTGTAGCTGATCAATATGTGTTCTTTAGGACGTTGGACCCGGTATTGACGCGTTTCCAACCTCCAATCTCCTCAAAACAGAGAATAAATGTGGCAAAAGAGTTAAAGGGATTATGAGCTCCTGAGTTCAAAGGTGAAGCCGAGGAAGGTTTGTTGCGGACCTTTGGCTTAACGATGTGAAAATCATGCTCGAAGGACTCCATTGTTCTGATATGGAAAATTTAGACGGAGTAGTCTCCTTGTTGCATGGGCAAGCAAGAATTTGGTGGACGAATGTCACTTTAAGGATGCCAAGTGATCAGATAACTTGGTATTTGTTTTTCGAAGAATTTAAGCACAAGTATATAAGAGATTAGTTCATCGGGCAAATGAAGCAATAATTTTTGAATTTGAAGCAGATGAATCGTACTGTGTATGAGTATGAGTGCGAGTTTAACAAGTTAAGTCATTTTGAAACTAACTTGATTCCAACCGAGAAAGATGCGTGTGATTGGTTTGTAGAGGGCTTGCACCTGAGATTAAAAGAGATATTAATCGTGTTAAATTTATCCTCATTTCAAGAGGTAGTAAATCGTGCGAAAGCTATTGAAAGAGCTCAGAATGAACGGTTTGAGGGAATATAGAGATCAATCTTCTAAAAGAATTAGGGTTTCATTGAGCATGGTACCACCCAAGAAAGGTAGAGATTCAGGTTTCCGATCTCAAGCACCGTCAGAATCGATGGCATCCTCCATTAAAGAATCAAATCAAATGAAAGTTAGACAAACTCAGTCTGGAAGGTCTGGTGATAAGCGAGCACAGCAGAGTCAAATTATACAATGTCAGATTTGTAGAAGAAGCCATAGTGGATTGTGTAGAGTGGTCACTGGAGTTTGTTTCCGATGTGGAGAAACAGGGCATTACATGAAGGATTGTCAATTGAGGGCTGGAGAGCCTGTACAGTCAGAGCGATCTTCGTCAATGTCTCATAGAAGACGCGGTATAGGTAAAAGAAGAAATAAGGCAGAATCTTCTACTCAACAGGAAATACGTTCCACGGCTAGAGTATATAATCTCAAGATCAATGAGGACTGTGATAACCCAGATATAGTAGCAGGTATTTTTTTTCTCTTGTACAGTAAATGGGTTATGATATTGGTTGATCTGAGTTGCATATCTATATACGAGTAGTGAATGGGTGAGAGAATTGAGAATTTAGATAGAAGTCATTTGTAGTAATATTAAAGTGCCAAATTTAGTAGGGCACAGTGCTCAAGTAAACAAGATATGTAGAAGGTGTTCCACTTGGATTCAAGGAATTGAATTCTCTGTTAATCCAAAAAAGTTATTTTTCAAGGGATTGGAAATAATATTGGAGATGGACTAGTTATATAGTTAGTATGCAAATGATGATTCTAAATTAGGAAGAGGTACAACTAATCAGCTTAGACGGATTGGAAATATCAGTGTTGGAAGATATATGTTATGAGGGATAAATATGTTTTGATTGAATAAGGATTTTACAAGTAATGAGGTTGTGCAAGTAGTGTTAAATATCATAAATATGGAAATAAGATGTGGAATGTTATTTAAAGATAAATATAAGTGATATGAAAGGATTATGGAAGCATAAGGAAAAAATATATGATTTATGAGGTAAGAATATGGTGGTTTATGAAGAATTAAATAGATATAAAGAAATTAATTGGAAAAGAGTGTAAAGTGTGAATTATAGGTTTGATAAGGAAGTAAGGAAATGATAGATAGTGTTGTGGAAAGATGGTTTGGTTTTAGAAATATATGTTTTCACCAATTATGATGAAGAGTAAATGTTATAGATAAGAAGATAATGATTTAGTAATATGTATTAAGGAAGTTAAAATATAATTGAAAGAATGTTTCTCTCGGTTCAGATATTGAAGGATAAGTCTGTTTTGTTGCAAATGATATGGATGCATAAAGGAAGGGTAATGAAAGTCAAGTTATGATAACTCGAGATTAACTGAAGAGGTAATATGTGAATATGAATATGAGACAGGTAGACAGTAGTTTAATCTATTAGTAAAATGAAAATTTGAGGATGAATTTTCTTAAAGGAGGGGAGATTTATAACATCCTCAATATCGGGTTAGTGACTAAATTAAAATATTTCAGAATTTATTGGTCAAAGTAGATAAATTGAAAGTTTGGGGACTCATATGAAAATTGTTATGTAGGATTTAAATATTAAAGAAGGAATTATGGAAGGGTAAAATGGTAATTTGATGGAAAGATATTTGTTAAGTGGTGATATATATGGGTTACACGTGGGAATGAAGGAGAAAAATAAAGCTTTCTAGAGTTCTCTTCATCATCCTCTTCCAGCCGTGAGCTCAAGCTTGATAAGGTGAGTTTTCTAGACAATTAATTATTCAGTGAATTTAAGTTGGGTTTATGATTCTTTAGTGATACTTAAGCCTAAGGAAGGCTTAAGCTAGCATTAAAACAAAGAATAGAGGAATTGGGAGGAATTAAAGTTAAGGAGTTTTTAAGTGAAATTTTGATGGTGAGTTAATAAGCTATAATGGAGGCTAAATTTGCCTTGACATCAATCTAGTTAAGACAAACGAAGTGTTAAAAGTGGAATTAAATCATGTTACAAAGTTGGTAAAATTCTTGAATTTCATGAGGAGGATAGGATTTTGAGGTTTAAGATGAAATAAATGAGTATAGATTGTTTTAAGTATGTGTATTGGAGTTAAGAATAAAAAAGGGGATGAAGCATGAAGGATTTAAACTAAAATGGATGAGTTTTCAGGTTCAATAAGTGAATTCTGGGCAGAGTGAACCGGTACACATTCAATGTGTACCGATGCATCAAGGGCAAAATCCCAGAAATTGTTCAAGGTGTATCGATGCACATGAAGTGTATCGATGCACTCCTTTAAAATAAAAACATCGAATGACATCAGTGTATCGATGCACAAGTAGTGAATTCAACCCCTTAAAATACAAAAATCGAATGGGATTTATGTAATGATGCATAGATAGTGCATTGATGCACCCATCAAGGGATGCATCAATACATGGTGTAGTGCATCCATGCATACCTTCATTAAAAGATGAAAATAGCTTTCTTTTTAGCATAAGGAGTAATAGTTTAGAATATATTAATTAGTATACTGATATGTATCAATGTATTACTATGTAGATTTAGAGCGTGTTGAGTTAATCGATCGACGGAATCGGCCAAGAGGGGGTGAATTGGTAATTAAAATTTTGTGGAAGCTTTTGCAGAAAATTTAAAGTATTTGCACAGCGATTTAGAGTGGTTCGACTTTCTCAATCAAAGTCTATGTCCATTACCTTAGCTATCCACACTAAGGAGTTTCCAACAAATTCACTAATTTGTTCTTTCTTTTGAGACCAAAGAGATAACCTTACAACTCCCTCAAGAATATACCCCAATTCTTGAGAACACTCTTTCTCAAAGAGAAGATTACAAATTTGTAAACTTACAAGGAAATCCTCACAAGGAAAGATGTTTGCACAATTCTAGAACAAAGAAAAGAGCACTCAAAGATGAATACAATTGAGTACAAGTAGTGTTCTTGAAAGCAAAGATGAATATTGAATGAAAAATAGATTGAATTGCTCAAACTTGAGGTCTGATGCTTTCTCTTTGATTCTCTCTTGATTCTTGATAAAATTGTTATTGATCAAAGGCTTCTAAGCTTGTTTAAATACTCCTTGATTCACTTATGAATGTTGGGGATCATTAATGAAGATATTTGAGCCGTTTAAGTGTGAAAACAATTAATATTTATGCTTGGAGCGTGGGGGGAATCAGTACCCCCTCATAGGGAATCGATTCCCAAAGTGTAAAATTCAAATATTTCGACCGTTGAACAGGGGGGAATCGATACCCCTTAGGGGAATCGGTTCCCTCTGAGCATTCTGGTTTTCTTGGAGCCAAACCATTCAAGGGGGAATCGGTACCCCCTTGGGGGGGAATCGGTTCCCTCTGAGCAATCTGGAATTTTTGGCTTTGAAATGATTCGAAATATTTTGTAAAGTTGTTTTGAAATTATTTTAAGTTTAAAACTTAATTTTACACTTGAGTAAGGATTAAAAATGACATTTGAAAGATTTGGAGTAATATTTTGATATTCGAATAATTATATCGAATATACTTAGAATTTTTTTTTGGAAAATCTTAAAATTCATTTATCTTAATTTGTTATATCGAAATATCAAAATGTTTTCAACAATCTTCCCATTTTTGATATAACAAAACATTTTAGTAATTTTAAGATTTTGAAATCAAGTTTTGAAATTACTCCCCCTTACTCTAACACTTATCCCCTTTAAAACACTTTAACATTTCTCCCCCTTTTTGTTAAATCAAAAAGACTTTTAAAAGTTTTTTTAAACAAGGTTTTGAAATCATTTAGCCAATTGATGATAAATATATATATATCTTAAGCTGCTAATATCACAATCAAGAGAAACATTAGTCATTAGTTCCATAATCAATATTTATAAATAAATATGCAATGGAAATTGGTCATATATATAATGATTTAAAAATTGATAAACATTAAACTGAAACATAAAATTCAAATCAAGTATAGGTTCAAACATTCATAAACAACCAAAGTAAAAACAATCCAAAAACATTCAAAATGTTTTAACAGTAATGCAAATATCCAAGTTCAATCCAAACAAGCAAAGCAAAGATCAAAGTTCAAGCATCCGTAGGAGGATCGGGAGGAGGGAAATGAGCTCGCATAGCTGCCATTTCATGAGTGAGTGCATTAATATGAGCGTTGGTTGCTTCATTATTTGCACGCATCTCCCAGAGAATTTCCAATTGTTGAGCTTCCATAGTTAAGAAATGAGATTCTATGGAAGTGAAGCGACAATCTAAGGATGCATAACAGAAATCAAATGTGTCCATAAATGATTGGAAATATGGAGGCACTTGATCTTCTTGCTGAGCTTGTTCCTCGTGTTGCTCCGACTCATCGTCGGCTTCGTCAATAGCTTGCATTAATTGTTCAAGGTCGGGATCGTCGTCAGCTTCTGGTGGAGCTTGTGAAGAACTAGCTCCCGGAGTATCCTCAGAGGATCGAACCCATTCACCGGTTTCTTTATTCTTTATCAATCCCGCTCTCGTTAAGGAAAGAAGATTAATTTGATTTTTGAGAGGAAAGACGGCATCTAGACCAACTCTAAGCCCGGCTTTAGAAAATAGATTACTCAGAATGCAACTGTAAACCAGAGATGAACAGAGTTTCTTATTAGGAACAAGATTTACGGTTTCAACAATTTCAGCAAAAATAATCTGAGGTATGTTTATTTTAATATTGTTTTGGAAACAATGTAACCACCAAAGATCCAAGGCTCTAAGAGCTGAGTAACGACCTCTGGATGGTCGAAACCACCAAAAAATCATTAGATGAAGAAAACTATCATGAAGATTTAAGACACTCGCACTATCCCTTCTTTTATAGCGAGAACCTAAAATCTGTTTTTCATTTGATATACCATCATTATCTAATCCTAATTTATTGGTTATGTAAGCTGAGTTAAGATGGAAGAATTATCCTAGGAGATAGGAACGAACTCCTATGGTTTTGGTTTGAGCTCGATTTTTAATACAAACGGCATTATAATAGAAGATGCGAACAAGTTGACGGTAAACTATAGGTTTAAGGTCACAAAGTTTATCAAATTTCCACCCTTGTAAAAGAGGAAGATATCTAAAATTGATATCTATCATAGCTTGAAGAGATGTGATACGTTCTTCTCTAATTTTGTAAGAGTCAAAATACTGATAATACCAAAAACGATGATTTCTAGGACCAGGTTGATTGAAGCACGAGTTTTGGATAGTCATATTAGGATCAACGGGATTATGAATAGGAATTTCAGGAATAGGAGGAGGATTTTGAGGTGGATTTGGTTGTTGGTTTGAACGACTAGATGAAGACCTAGCACGTTTAGGATTTGACATGGTTTAAGAAAATTGGAAGAGAATGAATAACTTGCAATTATAAAATACATGTATGCAATGTAATCAATCCCAAAACTCAATTGAGTCCTCAATATTTCAAGGTTCTCTAAACCAATCCAAATGGGCAAAGTTTTGAAAAACTTTTGAAAAATAAGATTTTGAAAGTCAATATATGTATAGTTTTCATAACAACAACATAATTCAATCAAATCACAATAATTTGAAAAACAGTTTTTTTATTTCGAAAATTTTAAAGAACTTTGGAAAATTCTTGTGTTTTTTATGAAATTAGTTGTAAAATCTAGTTTCTAATCACTAAATAATCAATGACCGATCTAAAGTTCAACCTAGAACTAATTAAAACTAGTTCTAAAATAAAAAATCGATGAAAAAGAAGTTTTAGAAAAATACCTTGAAGATTTTCAGATTTGAGTAAGATTAGATGAAGTTTGCACGATTTTGATGATTCCAACAGGTTTAGGAGATGATAT